TTTCCATCGCTCTCCCAAAAATGTAATTTGCTCATTGTTTTTTTTTGTCACATTTATGGAAACTGAGACGTTCTCTATTTGATATGAACGATCTATGTCAAATAAAGTCCCATTATGGGACCTGGCTTATTAAATTTAGTCTTTAGAATAAATCCCGGCTCATGAATCAGATATATAGTACAGAGATAACTTGGATGAAAGGGCCATGCGGGGTCTTGCTCCACTTGCTCTTACCTTGAGGTGAGTTCCTTCCATCTAATTAGAAGATAAAAGCTGCCACTTTCACAGCGCTCAGGGCATGCTCGGAGAAACTCGGAGACTGAGTGAAGCAGACAGAGAATGAATGGGGTTGAGTGTGCTCTCAGGTTGCCATGGACACCCGCCAGAGCGTTCGGGTTCGAGGTCTGTAAGCACTGAGGAGACGGAGATGTGTATGAAGAATTGAAAACAAACTATATTTTCATGTGCGGTTGAAACCATGTGAAGATGCTTATTTTTATTCTTCATTATAAAAATAAATTACATAAATTAAATAGGAAGGTTAATAGAAAAAGAGATAATACATACAATAATACAAACAACTGAGTATATATTTTAATTAAAAGCAAGCCAAGTTAAAATAATAACAATGAACCTGCAGCTGCCAAAACACATTTGTTTGCTGTTCTGTCCAAACCATTTGCGATTATTATTTTAAGTTTTTTATGTGAAGCTGGTGGAGACCTGTAATTGTCCAATTAAATCTATCTATTATTAAGAGCAACAAATTTGAGCACCCTTTTATTTTAGGAACATTCAAAAGGATGCAACTGACCAATCTAGTTTGATATGTGCAGAATAGCATATTCTGAGCTCGTGCCGAACCCAGCAAGTTTCTGTATAGAAATGTAAGCCAGTGAAGTAAAACTGTTCTTGAATACTTTTCCATGTATCCAAAGTAGTCTATTTTTAAGCATACTCAGATAACCCATTGTTTCCCCTTAGTAGATGGGAGAGCTGTTCATGCAGCAGCAGGGTGGTTGTCATCATAGAGGGTCTCCATGCAAGCTATAGTGGCTGTGTCTGTGGCAACCAGAGTGGTAATAGGGGAAAAAATAAGCTGAGGCACCAGCCGTAATCCTGCATTCAGAAGATCCAGATGGCTAACCTTTCAGTCAAAATATTGTTTTTGGAAAGAGGTGTGCAGACTTCTAGCTCTCTCTCCCTCGCTCTGTCTAGAGCTATTGGCTTCTCCAACTCCCCCCCCTCCCCAATCCCTCCTCCGTTCTTTCTCCGTACTTCATCTGATCTATTCATGCTCAAAGTTCATCAGAACTTTCTAGAAAGCAGATGTGATGTGCTTTGTGTGCTTACTGTGCACATATGTGTGTGAGTGCGTGTGTATGAATGGATGGATATGCATGTTAAACGTGGGCTCCCCTCAGTCTCCTGGGTAGGACACACACAGAGCGACCTTGTGTTAAGGAGAGGGCTTACTTGAACCTGCCCACGCCACTCAGTACCGTTGATATAGAGACCACCAGTGGAATTTCCAACACAAAAACACAGTTGCTGAGAGTTAGCAGAAAAGTACCTAACATATGTCATGGCTTGTTTTGATTGGGATATTCAAAATAATGAAATTACCTAAATATTTTGATTAGCCCAGAGAGCACAGAACAATTCCAGTTGAAAACACTAAAGGAATTAAATAAATTATACATTTACATTGTGGTAAACAAGTTCATACAAAAAAGGTAATACAAGGTAAACTAAATTAAAGTTCCGTCATCATTTTAAGGCACAATATGTAAGATGTTTTGATTAAATAATCCAAAAACCACTAGAACAGTGTCATATATTTTGCGGACTTGTGTACTTACTTTATCCCAAATGTTTCGAAGAATGTTTAAATCCAGAGAAATAAGCAATTTTAACTAGTGACACGGAGCGTGTCCATAGTGCCATTGTGTCGCCTGCCAATGACGTCATAACCCCTCGATTTTTGTTTTGTAGAAAACATGGAAACACCAAAGACTCTTTAATATGTTGTGCGTTTTATACGACCGCACAGAGTAGCATTATAACACAACTTTCAAATGTATCTAGTATGATAAAACAGCGCTGCTTTTTTCCCCCACATACGCACGACCGGAAGGAGCGGAAGCGGTCGACTGTGGCATAATAAAAGCTCCGCTGCTTTCGAGCCGTGTGTCGCGCTCGTTCAGCGGCCTCGTTTCGCTTCGATGGCTTTCAGCCTCACCCTGCTTCATTCTACTACGTTAATAAATCATTAGCTCATCCATGAACATGATTTCTGCCCGAGTCCCGTCGGATTGCATCGGCTGTGGGGATAAAGACGGCAACTCCCATGATTCCACACTCAGTCACGCCGTCATCAAACTACGCCTTTGACTATTTGTTTATTTTGAATACGCGCCCTCTAGCAGCAAAAATTACATATTGTGCCTTTAATCTCCCTCATGTTGTTCCAAACCTGTATGACTGTGGGGGTTTTTCTTCTTCTTTGTACCCACAAAATAAGATATTTTTAATAATGTTGGTAACAAACAGTTTTTTTTGGGGCCATTGACTTTGATTGTATGAAAAAGAAGGTCCGGGTTTATATTAGGTGGCCTTAACAACTATGTACTTACATAAAAAAGTATCATGTAGTTATTTTTCATATTGTACATATTGAGGTGGGATATGGGTAAGGTTAGGGACAGGTTTGGTGGTATGGGTAGGTTTAAGGGTGGGTTAAGGTGTAAGGGATGGGTCAACAGTAATTATATTAGATGTAATTACAAGCGGGTATTTTTTAAAATATGTTCAATGTAAAAACATGTATGTACACAATAAGTGCACTGTGCCAAATTATTAATTTAAATGTAAGTACATAGTAGTTAAGGCCATATAATATAAAGTGGGACCAAAAAAAAAAAAAAACTGAATCATATCAAAATATCTTCTTTTATGTTTCTGTGGGAAATAAGTCATGCAGTTTTTGGAACGATATGACGATGATTAAATGATGACAACTTTATTTTTGTGGTAAACAATCACTTTCAGTGAGATTTTTGAAGCAGAAATAATAATTTTTGTTTTGCATATTTTATAGATCATTAATTTTTTAAAACAATTTTCAGTATAGATTTTTACATTTCATTCTTTATTATTATTATTATTATTTACAATTTTATTGGAGTTAATAAAAAAATATATTCTGGTGCTATTTTGTTGCTCTGTAGTACTAACTGCTATAAAAACAAATTACAGAAAAATAAATCTGTCAGTAGATTCATCAAGGTAATTACTGTTAATGTGCTGTCAACGACTAAACTAAAATTGAAATTGCACTGAAGGCTGAAAGAAAACAAGGCACGCAGCCTTAGAAAAGATGCCGTTTTGGGCTTCCTTTTAGTCTTCTGTCACCTTTAAGATAACAAAACACACGTGTAAAATACAGACATACTTCCCACACTAAAATGTGCACATAAAAAAAATCGGACAAATCCTACTCTTATTCTCTCTCTTTCTCCCTCTCACACACACACACTTGGGTCCAGTCAGCATGCCTCATGGGGGGAGCCGGGCTGGCTCCTGTGGTTGATGGTTGGGGCGTCTCTGCTGCTGTACATTGCCACACTCGTCCTCTTTCCTCTAGAGCTGCACAGACAGCCAGACTCCTGCACGCTGCTGCTGCTGCTGCCGCTGGAACACGCCGCTTGTGTCCAGCATTGAGCGCTCTAACAGCGCGTTCGCTGGCCAGCAGAAACATTCCAGCTTAAAAATTAGATTATTAAATATAGGAAATAACTGTCTGTGAGTAATTTAGTGGAGAGGAGAGAGACAGCAAGTCAAGTCAAGTCACCTTTATATATATATAGCGCTTTTAACAATACATATTGTGTCAAAGCAGCTTTACAGTATTAAATAGGAAAATAGTGTGTCAATCATGCAAAAAGAAGGAGAAAATGAGAAAGGTGTGCTGACTCAGAAATGCAGTTTTCCAGGTTGTCGTTCTGGATGCTGAATGAAGCATGGTGTTGTAACCAAGTTAAGATAAGTGGGGAGGGCCAATAATAAATGCAATTATAAACAAATTATGCTTTTATTACTGAGTGCTCTGTACAGTAAGGGATAATTATGCTTTTTCTCCCCCTTAATAGTTTCCTCCTCCCTTGTGACTGACCTCGGCTACATCCTGTTGCAGTGTTTTTACAGTAAGCAAACACTTTTACTGCTTTTTGTCATATTTTTGTGTCCCATTCCAATGAAATCCACATTAGCTATGTTATGATGAACTCATTCCTTCTTACCAAAACCCATTCCCATTAAAGGTCAAATATCCTCAGGATATTATAAACAGGGTCAATACAAATGTGATGTCACTGAGGGAATGGAATTTCGTGAGCCCCTGGGAATATACTTTTGAAGTGGGAAATGCCTGTCTTCCCTGTAGTTGCGCTATTCCAGGTTAAACTATCATTCATAATTGGATTGGTATAAATATTTCTTGAAAATACACATTGTGTCGCTGTCCGAATAATGTGTGTGGTGTGAATTTTAACCTTGCAGAAATAATGGTGATCAATTGCTTTTATTCAACACTCTCACAATGCTTTTGTAATTAAAATATAGGATAGATAGATAGATAGATAGATAGATAGATAGATAGATAGATAGATAGATAGATAGATAGATAGATAGATAGATAGATAGGTAAGGCTTGTCCCATTGTGTTTGATGTTTTTGATGACAGTTGGGACACCAATTCTAGCAATGACAAAGGTCTGAGTGTCACTGATATCTCTCAAGTCTAAATTTACCTCTGAGCCTGGAGAGACGGGAACAGGTGGAGATCAGGCACTGCCAAATTCTTATGCCACAAATCTTATGGGCCACTTTTTCTGGGGGTGTGTGTTTAGGGAACAAGTGTCTAATTTCTGTGTGTATGCATAACAACAGATCCAAGAGAATTTGCAGGGCAAACCAACCCACATCGGGTTTCTGTTCAAAGCCAGCTGGTCTGGCTTTATTAGTGCAGGGCATTTCTTTTCTTAATGACTTTGAATTTGTTTTGTAACCGTTTGATTAACCTGGCCCACAGCTGGAGCTGAAGGGTGTGACTTCCTGGGGAAGCACAAGAACTGCACCGGTGAGTTTTTCCTTTCCAAGCTCTTCCTTTCTTCCTTCCCCTCTTGTGATGAACCGAAAAGGTCTGTCTGTGGAAAAATTGAGAACTGCACAATGGCCGAGCATAATATGTTGTAGAGACAGTTGTTTTATTTGTCCTTCTGTGAGGGGATTTCAGTTCAAACAATGTGAGCTGTGAAGTTTAGGGGGTCTGAAATGGCATAACGGCTAGTTACTAGTAATACACATAATAATTTGTACTAATTTGTGTATGTAATCTACAACAGAAATGATTACAGACACAAGAGCTCTCTAATCCTGAGATTATTTGGTGCTTTTATTTTGTTCTAATTCCTCAATGTCAGACTAAATTATTACTCCTGTTTAGAGTAATTGAATCCAACAACTATTTGCTTGGTTTGAAATTAAGCATGGGGGAAACCTCTGAGCCTCAGCACAGTGTAGATTCTTCTCACTTCTGAGCTAGCTGCCACGACAGAATCAATATCAATTTGTATCACTCAGGCCTTAGTACATGTTTGACATTGCTAGTTTAAGTTTGAAGTAACGGGGGAATTGGTGACCTTACACTTGCAGAAGCAGTCTGAATGGTTTGAAAAGTTTGCACATGAGAACTCGGGGAATCTGTGGGGAGTGTTTAAAAAGAAAGAAAACTCAGAAATACCTTTCATAATCTTGAGACATTCAACCACTGGGTTTGTCCATATTTTACCCAGCGCTGGGTTGTATATAACACAGCATTTTTAGAGTGTAATATATATATATATATTTTTTTCATTTAGTTTTGACATCAGTCCTTGATAATAAAATTTGCATATAAAATGTATTTAATTTCTGATGTATTTTCTCATTTCTCATTTATATTTACCTATATATTAAATTCAATATTATTTTTATTAATGTGTGTGTGTGTGTGGGTGGGTGGGTGGGTGGGTGTGTGTATACAGATATCTAAGATTCAACAATATGGACTTAGTTTTGACATCAGGCCTTTGAGAATAAAATGTACATAATTTTATATTTTGTTTAATTTCTTATATTTTTCTCATTTTTATTTACTTTAAATATTTACAATATTTTTAAGACTCAACAATATACGGTTAGTTTTGACATCAGCTAAATAAAATAAAATCACAATTCAATCTGCCTCCTCCTCTAGCGTAGTTTATTTGCATTCTGAGAACGATATTTCTGAGGCAGCATATTTTTAAGAAAGCATCACTTACAAGCTTTCTGCCATCTAATCCCTCTCTTCCTGGGTGTTCAGGGTGTGACATTCCGCACCCCCCACCAACCCACCCCATGGAGACACAGGCAAGGCAGCTCTGACCCAGTTTACCAAAGCTCCCATGTTTGTCATTTGAAAAACTTTCTCGCTACCAAAATAAATAAATAAATAAAAATCTTTCATCTGAATTGTGGTTGGGAAAGAGCGTTGTTTTCTCGCAGCAAAGGTGGTGCACTTTGTAGAGAAGGCACCTTTTTCTTTTTGAACCCTTCTCTGTCTATTCGCCAGTGGCTATGTCAGGATTTGGTTTGTCTGTCTGTGTGTGTGTGTGTGTGTGTGTGTGTGTGTGTGAGTGTGCATGTTTATGTGGTTTATGAGGACACTAATTTGTATAATAACATGGGTATGACATAGGTATTACAATGAGAAGGTGATTTATGAGGACATTTTCAGTGTCCCCATAATTCAAAAGGCTTATAAATAATTCAGAATGAGTTTTTTTGAAAATCTAAAAATGCAGAAAGTTTCCTGTGAGGGGTAGGTTTAGGGGTAGGGTTGGTGTAGGGCAATAGAAAATACGGTTTGTACAGTATAAAAACCATTACGCCTATGGAGAGTCCCCATAAACCATAAAAACAAACCTGTGTGTGTGTTTCTGCACTAGTCCTCTTCTCCAGAGCTCCTGCAGGCTCCCGTGTTATTTGCAAAATCTATAATAGCCCCAAATTAACTGGAAATTACACAAATATGGCAGTCAGCCTTGTTTGCTTTTCCTCGTATTTCTCAGTGCATCTAAAAGCATAAGCGATCTGACTTTAGCTATGAACTGAAGTACCAGCAGCACTCTGCGTTAAGGGTGCGACAAAGACGGACCAGTTTGTGCACTAATGCCACTATTAAGTCTACATTAACTACGAAACATGTACAGTGTTGAGAAACAAACCCCCCACATTTATTTATATTAATCACAGTTGGCACGCAGGCGTCGCAGTAGTTGCCATCCTTATGTTGCATATTGCAGATCCAGATGCTATGTTCTTAGGTTACATGCTTCCATATTACTGTCTGTCAAACGAGTATTTCATATTTAAAACAAATTCTCCGAAAACTGTGACATATTATACATATGGAAACAGTTTCATCTCTCTAACGTTGAAAAAAGGGAGAGGTATCTTTGTCCTACTATAATTGCTCACAGTGACGGCTTACTTTTTTCTTTCTTCTCTCTCTTTTTCATAAACTAATTCCAATATTTCACATTGGAGATGTAGTCTTGGCCGTCTGTCGTTGCTCCTTTCTTTCTTTATTCTCTTTTTGCTCATCTTACTCCTCTCTGTCCCTTGGAGAGGATGGCACTGGCGCAGCGCTCTGCTCCTTCGTGGATCTTACATGCTGGATGGGGCCCGTCTGAATCTACAAAACACGAGTGCTTCACCGCCTTTTGATCTCAGGCTAATCTCTGTTGCCTGCCTCCAGTCTCATCTTGTTTGAATAAGAATGAGTCTGGGGTGCTATTGCAGGCACAAAGAGGTTTAGGCGGCATCCGTTCAGCAGAGCTGCGCTGCGCGGATATGTGTACATCCAGAATCGTTCCTCAGACTCAGCACTCCTGTGCATCTATATTCTCAAGTGTGAAGCTTCTGCAAGTGTGTGTGAGGGCGGTTTTCTGCCTCGTTAAAAAATCTGACGTTTCATTTAGTCGAAGTAGTAAGTTAGTGGCTTTGACATTCTAACATTTTATTGCTCACATTGATAATTTTTTTTTAATCATTCATATCTACAACTCTTCAGGGAGAGTTGACCAAAAATGAAAATGCTGTCATTTATTTTTTCACCATTATTTTCCTTTAAAACACACACGACTGTCTTACTTCTGTAGAGGGAGAAATTGAATGGAATGTCCGAGGCCTTCTTTTCCATACAAGGAAAGTGAATAGTGAGCATGACCTTCCACCTCCATATTTTTTTTTAAATTAAATAATTCAATTGATCAAATTTGATGTTTGTAATAATACACACAATTACTAAATGCCATTCAGTGCCATTTAAACATTTAAACCGACCCTGAAGTTTTGAACAGTAGTCTACATTTTACTGAGTTCTGATATGATAGGGTGAGTAAAAAACAAAATAGAGTTGTCATTTTTAGGTGAGCTTATTTCTTGAAGGTGCTTTGTAAAATGTTGCTTTGTGTAATTTATGGGTAAGGCCTTTCCACTGTGGGCCTTAAGATCCAGTATATTCTGCAGTTTATGTGGCATAGAGAGGGGCTTCTCTTCTCAGTTCATGTCTCAGGTCAAGAGGACAATGGTCCTTTTTTCTACTGCAGTCTGAGGAGAGAAATCAAGAGTTAAAAGTGTAGAAGTGAGTTTGATTTCTTTACCACCTGAAGTGTGTATGAGTGTCGCTGAGCAGCAGTTTCAACGCTGTTGGAGAGAGAGAGAATAAATGAGAGAACAACACAGACAAAGAGTGAAGGGATGAAAGAGACTGTATTTAAAAGAACTGCAGATGTCTAGTAAGAGTTTGTGACAAAAACGTTTTCTGTAATAAAACACATCAGACATACTTATACATGTACGTAACCACCCCCCTGCACAGATAATCTACACTGTCTGGTAAAGCAACTATTATGAGCAGGTTGAAATAAATGTAAGAAAATATAGGTAGAATTTCCATTGCCTGTCCATAATGCCCACCATCTGTTAGGACCCGACTTCTGCACAAGCTCAGGAAACACCGGTTGGCACTCTAAGTCTGGAGAGAGAAAAATGTGATGTTGGCATCTTTTTTAGTGCCGCCGTTGTGAAAAAAAACATGTTGAAACAATGAAATAACTGTGCAAGTTTCGCAGAGGTTATGAGTGAATTAGTTTCCACCGTTCAAAGGAGGAAAAATCATTAAAGTATTTTTTTTAATATATTTATTTTTCCAGCTTTTAACATTAGACAGACAAAGGGAACTTTGAGCTGAAGGGTGAAATATACAAAGATGTGAAAGTGATACAATCAACAGAATACTTTAGAAAGCAGAAATTTTAATTCTGAAATAAAGAGACTGACTATTTATTTATTTATTTATTTCTATGCATGTTACTTCCAATAATGCTGCCAATAATATGTTGGTTGCTGCCTCCATTTAACTTACAGTTAAACTCTTGTGTTATTTAGCTGTGATGGACAGGGTTGACTCAGCTGTGAGAAAGCCTTTGTGTGCCCCTGCTGGCAGAAGTATGTATTGCAGGTGCACATTTCACTCACAAGTCAATAGAGAACTGTTTCAAGAAACTGCCCTTTAAGCTGTGCTCATACATGTTTGGAGTTAAAACAAATATAGTTTTCAACTTTTACTGTCATTTGACACTAACTCCTATTTAGGCCTCTATTAGCAAGTGGGACAGAGTACAGGTGTATTGACAGGGGAGATAAAGACTTCAGTAAAGTGCAGAGTAACTGGAACTGGGGTGGCTTTTTCCAGCACACAGCTTTAATACTGAAACCAGAGCAGCAGCATCCTGCACAAAGGCTTAACCGTGTTGTGCTGCTTGTGGTTCATCTATAATGAATCAAAGGTGTAGCATTCACGCGCTGTTTGCCCAACAGAACATGCAAATTACCAAATTTGTCCCCACACGAGTCAACACTTCACTACCGGTTTTCTTCCAACCACAATATGTGTTAGCGTGCTCAGGTGCTATTTAAATGCAATGAAGAGAGGGCTCAAACCGTGATGATTTCATCAGCAATGCACTTTTAGAAGTTTCCAAGTTAAATGTATGCATGGAAAGGCAAAGTTGCACTTTTTTATTACTCTGAGATCCATTGAAAGTTGCAGCCATATGTAGAATGGCTTGCTGTAGACTTTTTGAAGGGTCAGAGGTAATGTAAGATGAGATCTCAGCCTCTATTGAGAACTATTAAACCTGATCTTAAATGGCTGGTGTGATGAAGATTAATCAGGCATTCATTTGCTTAATATATGTGCCAAATTGGCCAAAAATAAGGATGGCACTGATTCAGTTAGCCTGCAGGACCTTTATGAAATGAATGAATGATACTGTATGATTAAAGGTGAACATGCAGAGACACGTCTTATACATTTGTGTGCAGCTACTGGAGCTTAAAATGCTTTCAGATGTTCCATGGCATGTTAGTTTTTAATTTAACCATCATGTCTCTTTTAGGATCTCAAAGACCACACTGCCCCTTTAATATCTTGACAAACATACAGCTTTAATTTTTACTGTATTAGATTATTTGACAGATATACAAACTCCTGATGGATTAATTGATTGATTTATAGATAACAATTTTTCTAAAACATATATAATATATGATATTAAAGTAATAAAATAATATCTGCCTGCTTGAAATATCTGCCTTTTGGGCACAAGAATATATGAATAATTTTAGGGGAAAATATTTTATATTAATAAATAGGTTAATAATTATATTATATTATATTAGTTTATTTAAATGTACAATTTTAAAATATAAGGCATTCCAACGTAAAAACAGACCATAAGGAAACTGAACAATACACTGAGACATAAATGCATGCTGAACTGAAGCCAAAACAAAAATGCCGTTCTGTAGCCCTCTAAAGCCATTTTTTACACCCATTTTGAGACTCTTAAATAACTTTGTGCTGCATAACTACCCCAGCTAGTAAGTGTGTTTTCCTCTCCCTGCCTGTCGGTGTGTTTATCTGTCTGCCTATCTAAAACTTAAAAGTTTAGGAGAGGAAAGAGGGAAAGAGAGGAAACGGCTGAAATTGAAGGTGGCAGAGAGAGAGAGAGAGAGAGAGAGAGAGAAGCAGAGGGGAGGAGAAAAATACCAGCTAGTAAGTGTGTTTTCCTCTCACTGCCTGTCGGTGTGTTTATCTGTCTGCCTATCTAAAACTTAAAAGTTTAGGAGAGGAAAGAGGGAAAGAGAGGAAACGGCTGAAATTGAAGGTGGCAGAGAGAGAGAGAGAGAGAGAGAAGCAGAGGGGAGGAGTAAAATAAACTGAGAAAATGAGGAGGGGAAAAGAAGAATCTATGATCTGGCCAGACTTGGGAGACAGGCTCATCCCGGTGCTCTCATGCACTGTGAAAGCTCAGCGCTGGTGTTTGAGCACTTGACAATGTTATCAGCTCTGACAGCCAGATTGTGTTTTCACATGAGTGTGATCAGCAACAGATTACACACGGATACTCACGCACACACTCAAACACTCACAGCCTTGCTTGTTCCTGTTTGCCAAAGAAAATGTGTTGATGTTTATCGTGCTCTTAAAATAAAATGAAATAGAGGCCTTGTCCTTCTATCCTCCCGAACGCTACTTATGTCTGACTGAAGATAATAAGACACACGTGGGTAACTACCGGGCTCCCGAAAAGAAAACAACGTAGGCGGAATTGTTGTCAGCCGCTAACATTGTGTATTTATCTTCCATCTCCTTACATCTGCTCGTTACAAACATGAACAGATGAGGCCGAAACCTCAAAATTACCTTTCTCTGAAAAGCCTCTTGTATGTGTATACGAAATGACATAACTGCTACTGGGCACTTTCCTTGTGGCTTTTAACTTACTGGAAATCGGATTGTTGTTCCTGAGTGATGGCAAGCAGGTCCGACAGTCTGGTAGGGATCGACAGCCAAAGAAAACAAAAGGGAGAATAATGTATACAGAATGTGTCTTTCTGTTTGTAAATTAGGTCAGGAAAACAAACTAATCTTTACAGTTTTATGATTCCATTGACAGAAACCCCCTTTTGAGATATTAGAGTAAAGTGCCTTTGGGGAAATTCTAACAGGCAAATTTTAACATTTTAACAAACTCATTAGTCAGCTCTACTGCACAATGTTTAGTAGACTGAACTAATGTAGTTAAATTTACCAATCCGAAATCAAATCAAGTATATTTAAAATGTGTAAAATAAATAATAAACATATAAAATATTTTTAAATATATTAAATGCTCTTATATATTTATTTTATATCTTAAAATGTGTGTGTATATCTATCCATATAAAGAAAATGGCAGAAAATGGCTGGAAACAAATTGTAAATATTTACCTGCAAATGTTGCAATAAAGGTTATTTCCTGCATGCCAGAAAAAGAATAACAGTAATGGATTATTTGTGGTTAAAACTGCAAATGCTTATGCAGATCTAAGTCAGCCAGGTCACCATCAATGATATACGATATAGTTGCTGTAGTTACTGTTGTTTCTGTTTTCCTGTTCTTTATCTAGTTTACCTAAGACATGAATATGCAAGAGAAAGTTCAGTAACATTGTTAATATATTTATTTATTCCTTTTGTAGTTCCCCCAGCCATGCAGTGTATCTTGAACACTGTGCCTAGATATAGCTATTCACACAGAAAGAATTTCTCTCTCTCTTTGTGTCTCTTCACCAGGTGCCAACTAAACAAACAAAACCACACTCTGAAACCTAAAAGGGTCTTCCTGGTAAAACTGTGTGCTGGAGCTGGAAGAACTGAAGAAATTGTGAACACAGTGGGTATAACGTAATATACATGCTATTCAAATAGACGTAACAGTTAATAAAAATGATACTGTGGCCTACTGATCCTGAGGCTAAAGACATTTTCATTGACTCATATAGCTGACTTGCCAAATGTGAGGAAATGTCCATGTAAATGTATGGTGAATCAGAGAATCTGATGAAACTTAGCATGTGCTATCATATAGCTGGTGGGACCGAAGCTGTATTGATCAAGATATTGAAATTACCAATAAAAATGCAATTCAAGATTACAGTGTCTTGTGACCCAGAAGTGGGTTCCCACGGAAGCTGATACTGCTGTGTCCAGTTACAGTCTGTCAGGCAGATTAGCAGGTTTTATTAATTCATTAACTGATTTCATGTTTTACCTCTACCTCTGGTTTGTTTATCAGTGGCTCCAGTGGTGCTTAAGGTTAAATCTAAGGCAATAGCTTCATGGAGCAATGAAATATCTGCATGACGAAATTCAGATGACCACTTTAAGATGGGGAACTGAAAAAACAGCAATATGATAGTTTCTATTCCTTTATCGACCTTTAAATGTGAATTCAATCATTATTTCTAAACATTCATAGGGAGGTCTTTGGCATGGAGAGGTTTGGTGATAGCAACCAAGGTTTCTCGTCAGTGGCTCCAGTGGTGCTTAAGGTTAAATCTAAGGCAATAGCTTCATGGAGCAATGAAATATCTGCATGACGAAATTCAGATGACCACTTTAAGATGGGGAACTGAAAAAACAGCAATATGATAGTTTCTATTCCTTTATCAACCTTTAAATGTGAATTCAATCATTATTTCTAAACATTCACAGGGAGGTCTTTGGCATGGAGAGGTTTGGTGATAGCAACCAAGGTTTCTCTAATTATCATCTCTTGATTTGGCTCATGGTTTATAAATAGATGAGGAAAGCAAGGGAGATACCTGCCGAGACTCTGGTGAGCTCTGCTGTCCCCCCACCGCCCAATATTCATGTTGTATTCTGTTAATATCATGCTCTCCCTATACAGAATTTGATATGTGTGGTTTTAACAGGAACTTATTAAATGGAAAATAGTCATATGACTATATGTTAGGCTTGCGACAGAGCTTGGTTTATGGTCTTCTCGGTTGGCAAAGAGAAGGTAGTGTGCGAAGTGAAGAGAGAGAATATAGTGCGTAGGCATGGAGTGTAATCTAATAGGGCGATGTCCACATCATGGAATATTTTTAGAAGTGAAGTGCTAATTTTATTTCTTCATTACAAACATGAGCTGTTTATGAACATTAAAGTATTTTCCCACTTCCAGTAGAATACAATGTAATGTAATAAAAAAAAGGATTTTTCAGGAACCTAAAAAAGTATTTTATGTGAATGTAAACAAATATTTTAAAAAATATTAATAAAACTCAATCAGCCTAACTACACCAGATTGCACCAAGTCAGTTTTGAGCGTTAAACTGATACTTAAGATAACATACATTAAGGTAAATTAACCTGAGGTTAAATTGCATATTACCTCTTTACCGTCTTACTTTTAGTGTGTGTTAAATTCAGTGAATTAAAATTTCGAGGTACTTTGCTAAGCAAATAGTTCAGTTTATTTACTTTGTTTTAAAATGTGTACAGTACCATTCAAAGGCAGTACGATTTATATTAATTACTTTTATTCAGCAATGATGCATTAAATTGATAGTAGAAAGTGATAGAAAGTGCATGCCAGTAAAGACATTTATAATATTACAAAATATTTCTGCTGAAAATTCAGCTTTGCCATCACAGGAATAAATTACATTATAAAACATATTTGAATAGAAAACAGTTATTTAAAATAGCAAAACTATTTCACAATTTTACTGTTTTTACTGTATTACAATCAAATTAAAGCAGCACTCCTGAGTGTAAGAGAATCCTTCAAAAACCACTGTATGTTTGATTAAAACAAACCTCAGTGTAAAGAGCTATGCACTTAGCACATTACGACGTCCCCAGCCCTGTTGCTAACTGTTAAGATTGTGAATTAATGATGTGGCATGCTTGAATTTGACTCGGCAAACATTCCTGCTAGCTCGCCCTAGTTTCCCGCTGGTGTCTCTCTAGAGGGGTTGTGTATTGGACCTCTGGTCTCTACGTTAGCACCTGTAGACCGCAGAGAGGCTTGAACATGGGCCTGACACCTTGGTTAGATTACAACTTTAACCGTAGCGTCTGAAGTTACAGTGCTGTTGAGGGAAAGAGTTTGACAGGGGGGTTTTCAAAGTGGTGTATTACTTGTGTATGCATTGTAAATGACAGAAACTGTCATAATCTCTCAAATATATGCTTAACCATTTACTGCTGTTGTCTCTTTCAACAACACTGGATTGTTCCCACTAGAGTAGAGGACACACAATGAACATAATTTCATTATATTGACATGGTTGCTTTTATCCTCAAGTTATTATTTTCCCAGGTCAGATTAAAAGCGCTGTGTAGACCTGGTAACGTAGGAGGTGTAATCTTATTATATTCATCATAATCTTTCGCAAGAAAGAGGAACTGCTCAAGCTTCAGCGATCAGGTGAAGAAACCTCATGTTAATAAAGAGGCAGTTAGCCTCTTTCTCTCTCTCCCCGAACGGGCATGTGCCGTTATATTAATGTGTTTATGACAGTTTAATTGGATAAGCAGGCCGCTCGTAAAAAGTCTACAACTGTTTTCACCAAGGCAAGGCACAGACCTTTTTTTCCACGTTCTTCAAAATGCTGCTAGGCAGCCCGTCGATGACCCACTTCTGAAACGGTCGAGAAAACAAGGAAGAGCCAAGCACGATTCGTGAAGAATGACAGAGAGAGGGCAAAAAAAGGGTAATTTTTTAAGAAATTTTTTTTCGCTTTCCCTCGCTCTCTTACTTATCCTAAACACAGCCGACTTTTTTTCTTCTCCAAGCTCCCCTCCAGCGGAATCGGAAAAGAGAGGCACTGGGAATGCTGGTGTGGATTAGCTTCCGATGCTTGGCTAGCCCCCTCGGTTAATTACATGTGTAATGAGTTGTTTATTTGGGATAATGCGCAGCAGGAACGTCTGCCTAACGCCAGAGCTGGGAGCAGACCCAGGGAGACTCAAGTATAGAATAGGAGGATGGAGGAAAGTGGAGACAGGAGAAAGTCCCCACCATCTGCGCCAGAACGAGGAAAGGGAGGCTCGGCAAAGGAGGGGGTGGGCATTCTCATCCCGTCTCAGGGTCAAACAGCCATAAGACTTTTCTCAGGGTTGGGGGGAATAGAAATCTGCAAAATAACATACAACGCAGAAAAAGAAAAACAACGTACAAGGGAGGAAAAGGGCCGATGTGTGCCCAGCAGTGCAGAAGGGAGTGGAAAAGTCCATGGGTGCAAATGCAAAGAAGGGAGGGAGAGACGAGTTGTGCTATCATAAGCCGAAGGGGACAGCTGGGGTTATGTGAACACTGCAGCTGGATCGGGAGCCGAGGGAGATCGTCGGGCCGATCCCTGTGCTTCCGAGTGGCTGGAGCCTTGAGAAAAAGCTTCCCTCCCTTCGCAACCTTCTGCAGGCTGCACTTTCCCAAACCCCCCTTCTAAAAACGAGATGGTGTAGATAAGCCTCTGGAAATACACACACACAGACCTGATTTACACAACACCGGCTGTAAGCACTTGCTTTCCCTTGTTTTCTTTTCCGCTCTTATCGAGTCGAATCGAGAAGCGGTCATTATTTAGCTAGAGTGAGTGATTACCATCAGAATAACAGCAATTAGAAGGGTGATTATTTTTTATATAAATGCCTGAAAAAACAACATGATATGTATCTCGCAAATTTTTTATTCTTCCTCTGAGCAGAGATTTTTCCTCTTTTTTTTATTTATTTGACTAGCATATTTTTTCTCCTTCATCGAGATGACTGAAAAGTGTGAAGCAGAAAAGTGAAGCCGTTTAATCCGGCATGCGGCATCGGAAAACTTTCGCTGTCACTGTTTTCTGATCACATATAAAAAAACAAGCCCGTCACAGCTGCAAGACACAAGAAACACGCGGTAAAGGAAGCTATGCAAATGCGTGCAACCCTGACACGCTACTGAACAACAAGGTAAAGCCTGAGAAAATAAATAAATAAATAGTGAAATACACGCGCACACATCACACGCTAAACATGGATACTCCTGTATGGAGGATTTGAAAGAAGAATGGAAAAAAAAAAGGTACAAGTTGTGGAACATTTTTTTGCACACAGGGGAGAGACTGAGATTAATTGCAGTGATGCATGGCAGGACATCTTGAATGTCACTATGAAGCTGAAACATGAGAAAAAGGAAATAATTACCCTTAAAAGGAAACTTAGCATATATATTTATATAAGACGGAAAAAAGGAAACTTAGCATATATATTAAGACTAAAATAAATATCTTAGCTATAAATAGCTGACAGAACAAAGTGGGAGGAGTTTGGTACTGCATAATCTAGAGGCTAGTTACAAAGTCAGTCAAGTCAGCATGTGTGTGCCTACTACCAGTAAAACTCAAGAAAATCTAATATTTACGATCACTTTTCTTTCCGTTCTTTCTTCCTCCTCAAGGGTTAACCAGCAGCGCTTTATCTGATCACACTAGCTCCGCACTCTAAACCTCCCGTCCATTTTTGAGGTTTTCTTTGAAAGTCTGGACCGTTTTGATTCACCACAGCTGCGCTGACTCTTTAATCAAATGCTATCTTTTCACTGCTTTGCCCCGTCTACCCTTCTCTCTCTCTCTCCCTCCCCTCCCTCGTCCCTTAACGCATCTTAATTGGTTGCTTTCTGTGACAAATTACGAGCGCATGCTTTGATGAGGTCGGGGCAAGCCGGTACTAGAGTAACTTGTGCCAGCCCCTGGTGGTTCCTCTTACCACTACAAACGGGGGGTGGGGGGTGTGCATTGGCATGCTGAAACAGTAATGAGAGACTGGGCCCGGGGCTGCCTGGTCCCCCTGCTCCAAGATGAGAGGACATGAAAGGGGGGTTGCAGGTATCTTACCAGA